ATACATGATAATACATATTTACAAATATAAGCATAAAAAATATAACCTAAAGGTGCTTTTTTTTTTTTTAGCAGTAAAACTGAGATTTAGAAAGCTTAGAAACTTGACCTGACTGAAAAGAAGTAAGAAATGACGGGCCTTGCCGAGATCAGTTTGGCTCTGTGGATAGAGCCTGTGGACTAAAAGGTCCCAGGTTCGATTCCAGTCAAGGGCATGCATGGTTGCGGACACATCCTCAGTAGGAGGTGTGCAGGAGGCGGCTGATCAATGTTTCTCTCTCATCGATGTTTCTAACTCTCTATCCCTCTCTTCCTCTCTGTAAAAAAAAAAATCAATAAAATATATTTTTAAAAAAGAAAAGAAAGAGTGGGCCTTAAGAATGGCTTCAGGTTTTCTCACTGCACAGAATATAGGCAACATTGCTGAGGTTAAATATTTTATCCTTTGTTCTCCCTGCATGATCTACAGTAATAATCTGCTTCATATTGATATTTACTGCGGTGTTGTGGACAATTAACAGAAAGAGAAAGTTGGGATGCTTCACTGTCCTGGAAAAAGTTTAGCTAAATCAGAAAACAGGTCTAATTAAGCAAGTTTATTCTACATATACAAAAGGCTAAGTAGACTCACACATGTGTGATACATATAAAGCTCTCACTGGTACCAATCGCACACATGTATTTCAATCTGTCATTGTCAATTGTGAATTTGGTTGACACTTCTATTATTATAGAGAAAGGACAAATAGCCATATTAAAATATTTCTTCTAATTTTCTTTCAATGTGCATGAATTCGTGCACCAGGCCACCAGTTAAAAAATAATAAACCAAAAAGGGTTCAACTAAACCCTCCACCCATTGTATCTCTTATACAGCAGCCATAAAGATTTAACACTTTTATCATCTAATAGAGCCCCGGTTCACAAAATTCGTGCCCTCAGGGGGAGTCCCTCAGCCCAGCCTGCACCCTCTCACAGTCTGGGAGCCCTCAGTCTGACATCTTTAGCACTGCTACAGAGGCGGGAGAGGCTTCTACTACCACTGCTATGCTCGCCCGCCATGAGCCTGGTTTCTGGTTGAGTAGAGGGCAGTTTCTGCATTGAGCGTTGCCCTCTGGTGGTCAGTGCACATCATAGCAAGCAGTCATTCTGCTGCCGTGCCAAAACTGACTCTCTAAAATCCCCCAAGGGATCCTGGATTGTGAGAGGGCACAGGCCAGACCAAGTGACCCCACAAGTGCATGATAGGGCCAGGGAGAGACGCAGGTTGGTCAGCTGGGGAGGGACCAAGAGAGGGCTCATCTTGCTCAGTGCCAATCTGCCAGACCCCAGCAACAAGCTAATTTACTGGTCAGTGTCTGCCCCCTGGTGGTCAGTGCATGTCATAGCGACTGGTCAACTGATTGACCATGTGTCTCCTGGTAGTCAGTGCATGTCATAGTGAGTGGTTGAGCAGCCTTAGCATATCATTAGCATGTTTCGCTTTGATTGGTGAACGGCTGACCGGACACTTAGCATATTAGTCTCTTATTATATAGGATATTACAACCTGTGAAATCAAGTACAGATGAAGTTAGAAACTCTTCCTTCAGCTGAAAAAGAAACAAAACTGAGCATGAGAGCTGTCACTCTTAATTGTAAATATTGTTATTTTCATAAAAGTTGCTCCCTTTTAAAGCAAACATATTATCAAATATTATACCCTGAACAAAGATTCTGAATTTAAAAGATAGAAACATTTGTGACAATCTTATAGATTTATATTAGAAATGAGTAGTTTATATTAAACTACTACAACCATTTAAATTATAAATAAACCTAAAATACAAAATAATTAGGTTTCTGAAGTAATCTCTCGTTTCATGTATTCTTATAAATAAACATATACATATGAACTTCATGTTTAAATACACAACATTTCATTACACAAACTTGGCATACACACACACACACACACACACACACAGTCTGGAGGACTTCCTCTATTGATCTCTCTAAAGTACTAAGATCCATCATTATATATGACTTAAAGGAAAAGTATCAAAATTCTAAAATTATAATCATCTCAGCAATGTAAGAAAACAGATATATAAGCAGGCTCACAGCCCTTTTCTAACATTTGTATTTGACTACTTCCTTCAGTATTAGTTAAGGTTAACAAAAGGAACATAAACATTTTGACTGCTTTGCTTTGGGGGAGAACATTACTGACTGGATTATCTGGATAACTTAAGTAACCAAGTTTTTCTATTTAACCCATTACTTTGGTATACCTGAGAAGCAATGATATAAGTTAAAATCAATCTCTTCCAGTTTTATAGACTTTAGACACATATAATATTTTACCTAAGTTTTTGAAGATCATTTATAATTGAATAATGATGCTAAATAATTCAAGTTAAATAATGATGCTAAATAATCACCATGAACATAGCATTAGGCACTATATTCAGTGATGATTCTGATTTAAGAACACCTTTTAAAAATGTATGACTCAAAGAACTAAACTACTCTGGAAGAGAAAAAAAAAATAGAAGGGGTCCAATGTTTAATGTAAATAAGCAGATATCTACATAAAAGTCCATTATGTTCAAAAAGGTCACAAAGATGAAAATTAAGGTAACAAACTTAAAATAGTTAAATATCAGGTACAATAATATAATTGTCACTGTAATATAAGAGGAACTTCATTACTCATTATTGACATTTGTAATAAGGAGTTAACCCTTTAAACAATAATTTTCTGGAATTGTATCTTTTCACTTGCAATATGAGCTACTTTAGAAAATGATACTTAGCCTCACAGAGTTATTAGCAAGTTTATCCTCTTTGAACTTTTAAAACTTTTCTTTAAGTATGCTTTTATGATTTCAGAGAGAGGAAGGCAGAGGGCGAGAAAGAAACATGAATGAATAGAATCATCAGTTGGCTGCCTCCTCTATGATCCCTATCAAGGATCAAGCCCACAACCTGGGCATGTGCCCTGAATGGGAACAGAAACATGACCTCCTGGTTCACAGGTCAATGCTTAACTACTGAGCTACACAGGCCAACTTAAACTTTTATTTTTAGCATTAGGTCATTATAAATACTTACAACTTTAAGAATAAAAGCATATTTTATTATTACTTGAAATTTTTTTTTACATCTGGCCTACCAATATGGAAAAATCCTCAGTTAAATAAAATAGTATTAAATGAAGAGAAAATCAGACAGTATGGCTTAATGCAACAGGTATATAGGAACCAAATTAAGAGATTAAAAATTAGAACAAATAATTAAAATTACAAGCTATTTTAATAACTACTAACAATGAACAAATTAGGTATGGTAAAATCTTAACATAATATCAAACAATTTCAGTGGAAATCATAAAAAGAAAATTTATAAGATACCACTGAAAAACCTATACTTAAGGTACAAAACTATGCTTACGTGGGTTTTCCTAGAAAGTAAATAATACTTTCAGAATCCGTTATATACCGTAATTTTTAATGGCCAACAAAAAAAAAGTCAAATAGTTCTATTAAAACCTATTAAGTATACTTTTTTAAAAATCCAAAGCAAATGAAAATGTACCACTAGAAACTCATAATCCAATTAGATCTGTTTAAACTCAATCACTAAAGTTATGTGACCACTCCTATTTACTTAAGTTTCTTAATAAAAGTGTATATACTACTATTTCTAAGTAGATAATTCACCATACCAGAAATTTTTAAGGAAACTCATAGTATTTAAAGGGAAAAAAAAAAAAAAAAAAAAGAGGAAATAATGGAAATTAACCAGAGGATTTAAAACTCAGACAATGAGCTCTTAGGAGTAAGGAGTATGTTGGCAGGTGTGTCTGCAAGAAGCTAGATAATACAATGGAATCAGTTTTCATTCTGCAGAACCATGAGGCTTGCTGCAATGTCAGCTCCAAGCACACACTGAGAGACTCCAGAAAATGCTCATTGATCATGCAGCACTTTATAATGCGCATAAGCTTCTTTCTCCTGCTAACCCCGCCTAGCTTCCTTTTGCAGCTTATTCTCTCAAGCCTTCTCTTCTAATCAAATCACTTCCTGAACATAGGAAAATATTTAATAAATTATCTTAACAGCTTGAATATTAGGACTACCATTCACCATCATTGAAACCTCTTTATCTTAATTAGCCTGTCTTTTTTTAATGTAGAGGGAAAACCTACAAGGTATAGATAAGAAATGGGTTTTAAATATCTATACCTATAAATACAAATATTTGACAATATACTACACATCCAAGGCCAAAACCAATTATAGTTTCACTTTGACATGTATTTATTTCTTAATTGATTTATATACTCAAATAGGTTCTTATAAAATCGATACTACTAGGGAAGAGAGAAAACATAATTTAAAATTCTCATAACTCAAAATGTAGGTTTTACTGGGAGCTCTGAAGCTTTAGTACCTTAAATTTTAGGATTCTTTACTTTTTATTTACTAATTTATTTTTTAATAATCAAAGTCACATGAAAAATCTAGAACTAAATTGTTACACACACACAAATATATATGCTTATTTTTACCCCCAAAACTAAAATAACCAGCAGTTTTTAATAGATAACTGCTAGCAGAGCTTTAGGCTTAGATATGTAAATGAATTCTAAGATATATGATACTAAACCTACTCAAAGCTTCTTTTCAGACCCCACCTTCTAATGAGTTAATCTAAAGGTCACCACAAGCACAGGTTTTTTATTAAGTCCGAGGCCTGCTCTCTTTCTTAAATTTCTTATAAAAAATATATTCACAATTTATGAAACATGAAGCTTTAACAAAACAATTCTAAACTTGTTTAGTAAACACATGAATCAGATTGCCACATTCTACACGGGGTAAGGTCTGACTGTATCCTGCTTTTATGCTCTGTCTCTGCACTCTCCTCTAATCTATTCATCTGAAAAATAATTCCGTCAGATAGACTTCTTTGTTTAGATTTCAACTTTCATTTCATTTACAAATCTAGCCCTACCTCAAGAATGTCTTCTAGAACATATGCTTCCATTTCAGCCGCTGTCTCCACCATGTTTTATCAAACTGCCATGTTTCTTACTGCACTATGATTAGATCATTGCCAGCAGGAACACTCCTCTGTGTCAGCAAGGGAACAGGAAATGGAATGTTCTATTACATGCCTAAAGCAGCTTAGCTGTTCACTAGCCAGGCATCTACCAAAAGAGCAGGGGGGTGACTCACTGTGTATTTTTTAAAGACACAGACACTCTATTCCAAAGCAAACTTCTGGCAAGTAATTTCAACAGACAAAATTGATAAAGTCTCTCATTTTATCATTTCAAAACTTAAAAATCTTAAAATTCCAAAAAAGACATAATTATATATATATATATATATATATATATATATATATATATATATATATATATATATATATTTTAAAAGCTATTTAACATGCCTGGCTTCCTGGTTGAACAAAAGAGGTTGAAGTGGGTTACGTAGTAATTTGTCCTTAGTAAAGCCTTGTAGTAAGATTAGTGGCTGTATTAAATACTCAAAGGAGGCAAGGTAATACCAAATTAGGAATTTGCTACATCAAAAAATGCATTATATAACATATATACTATAGGTATTAACACGAGGGTGTCAAAAATAATTATCTTAATGTAAATTTTTAAATGGCAAACTGGTTTTCTATAAACTAATCTATTTGAAAATATCTAAGAGAATGAGATTAACATTTAACTGATTTACAATTACTAAAGCAAGACATAACACATGGTTATACTCATGTTTTAGAAATGCCTTTAACTTCATTTAATAACCAAAGACATGCTCCCGCCCACTTCATAAATATTATAAGAGACTAAGATATTTCAGATAACTGAAATTCAGAAACACTGAATCTAGACATTCAACAGCAAATACACTGAGTGACCAGATTATGATGATCTCTGAACACATAATAATCTGGACCCTCAGTGTATGTTGAATGAAGTAGAGCCAATTTATATTATATTCATTATTCTAGCTACTCCTCAGTTTATTAAAATGTGTTACTTTGTCAAATTTCTTCCCTATGTACTCTGAAATATGAAAAAAATTAAATGAGAAAAGAATGATGTTTTATACTCCTATGGGCATTAATAAAATAACCCTGCACTTATAAGAGTGCTACGTAAACAACTGCATTTTAATGTGCAGATTAACCAATCTAATTATAATTCTAAAGTTAAGAGTTCTTCTGGTCTAAATTTTTCCAAACACACACACACACACACACACTATTTTAAAACAAAAGAAAAAAATTAGAGGGAGCTGCTATTAACACATACGGCCAAGACTATGCTGAGAAAGATGACATGAATGTCATTGCCAGTAATGCCTATGTACTGTTTATCAGAACCTGTTCAGGATACAGTCAATATGACATAATGACATAATTTCTTCTTACAAATTTATATGAAGATCAAATGAGTTATAAACTCCTACTCAGTTTCTGATTATTAGAAGGCACCCATACTGTGTCGGCAATATGTGTTTTATTTTGTTTCTAAATATCAATTTATTGATTTTAGAGAGAGAGGAAAAGAGATGGATAGGGAGATAGAAACATTGCTGAGAAGCATCAATCAGCTGCCTCCTGCATGCCTCTCCTGGTGATCAAGCCTGCAGCCAGAACATGTGTCCTGACCATGATTCATGGGTAGACAGACACTCAACCACTGAGCCATTATCTAAGCAGGCAATGTTTTTTTTTCATAAACATTATTTAACCCTTACAATAACCCTAAATGATAATTTTAAAGAAAAATAACATTAATAATTACATTGTGCTTACAATATGCCATATGCCATTGTATTAATTAATTTAATACTCACAACAACCCTAAAAGAAAGGAAAGTATTATTATTATCATCTCTATGCTACATATATAGAAACTGAGGCAGAGAGAGGTTAAGCAATTTACCCAACATACTCCTAACTTAGCTAATTAAATTGAGAAGCTAACATTTGAATCCAAGCAGTTGGTTCCAGAGTCCGTCCATCTGCTATACTTCCTGCAGGTGATATTATCCCTATTTTACAGATGAGGAAATATAGTCTCAGATAGTACACAGTTATATGGCAGAGTTGGGATTCACCCAAGAACAATCTGACTCCAAAGCTGTGTGAAATTAATGGAAAACAAATGACATTAAAAATGTTTTCCTTCAGACTACATATATATAATGCTTATGTGTGGGTATGTCTGGCATTTGAAGTGTTCTCAAACAAAATAATTTCCAATGTATAGGCCTAGCTTAAAAAGAACTAGCAAACTGGCTTTTACTATTTCCTGCCTTCCAGATCAATTATTTTTATGCTTCAAATAAACTGCTTCACCCTTAGACTAAGAGAAGTCATCAATAAAGTTTCTCTTTTCTTAAACCTTCCTCTAACATAAAGAAGCAAAGATAGATTTGAGTTCAAAGAATTCTCATGTCGGAGCAATCATTTCCCATAAGCCAAAGTAGGTTTTCCAATGTTATATTACAAGAAATCCAGTACATTAGGCTCAAGTCAATCAAACTCACTCTCCTCTTCTGTTCCAGGATCATTAGGATGCTTATATTTTCTAACATTTACTGTTAAGTTTCTTTCTTTCTTTTTTTACCAATAAATATGTGACTAGGGCTTTTCTACAGAATTATGGGTGTTTATATACCATCTGCCATCTCTATTCCTTTTCAAAGCAGAAGCTTGATGAAAGTAGGAAACACTTTGTTAACCTACATATAGGCAGTAGTCTCTGGCACAGGCCAGGAACTTAAGTATTTGTTGATTAAATAACAAATGTATGAATAAAGAGATCATTTGATATCAGTGATCTATCCTAATTCCTTTTAAATTATTTTATTATCAGAATAATTTCTAATAATAAAAACATTTGTTCTGTGACTACTACTACAGGTCACAAGAAATAGTCAATATAAGCAGAATTTATATTTCAGAATTTCTTTTCTGTTACACAACAAATTATTTCTTCTTAATTTTATTACCTGGTCCATTTGTTAATATGATGACTTATGCCACAGCATAAGATACTCTGGGCACATGGGTGTGAAAGGAGATTCATATAATTCTGCCTTAAAACCCTACATTTTAGCCCAGCTGGTGTGCTCAGTGGTTGAACTGGGAGGTCGAGGTTTGTTCCAGGTCAGGACACAAGCCCAGCGGGCTCGATCTCCAGTAAGGGGTGTGAAGGAGGCAGCTGATCAATGATTCTCCCTCATCATTGATGTTTTTATCTCTATCTCCCTTCCTCTCTGAGTTTAAAAAAAGACCCTACATTTTAAAAATGAGCCACTTTCCATTTCATTTTGCAGACCAAAATAACCTGTTTTTCCATTTGCCTAAAATGGCTATCAGTGTTGCAGGATCTTTTATTTATGCTGATGGCAAAATCATTAAAGGTAAATAGTAGTTAACACTAACAGTTATGCAAATACAAACCAATTCTATATAATAAAAGGGTAATATACAAATTGACCCTAAAGGTGGAATGACCAGTCACTATCACCTGCACTAACCACCAGGGGGCAGATGCTCAACGCAGGAACTGACCCCTGCTGGTCAGTGTGCTCCTACAGGGGGAGCTCCGCTCAGCCACAAACCGGACTGGTGGCTGCGGCAATGGCGGAGGCCTCTGAGGGCCTCCTCGGCAGTATTAAGAATATCCCGAGCTCCCAGAGGGATGTCTGACTGCCAACTTAGGCCCATTCCCCCGGGGAGCGAGCCTAAGCCATCAGTCGGACATCTCCCAATGGCTCCAGGCTGGCTGCCAGAGGTATATCTGTCTGCCAGCTTAGGCCAGATACCGGAAAGCAGACCTAAGCCAGCAGGCAGACATCCCTCAAGGACTGAGAGGGCACGGGCCAAGCTGAGAGACCCCCTGTCCGAGTGCATGAATTTTCATGCACTGGGCCTCTAGTACTTATATAAATAATTTAAATTATAAAAGAAAATATTAAAATAAGAAGATCCAAATGCCCAAAGAGAAAAGCCTAGTATAATAAAAAAAAAAAAAAAAAGGGGGGGGGGGGGGAAGAGCCAGGACAAAAATGCTTGATAAAGGAATCCTCTAAATTTTGCTACTTTATATTAGACCAACCAAGGTTTTTTAATAAGGAACAATAAAAACTAAACACACAAAGAAATGTATTAACAAGCAAGCAACCCTATTTTGTAAGATTTAACATTTTGTTGATGTTTATTCCTCCACATAAAACTTTTTAAGTCAAAAATTCCTTGTAAAAAATTCTGTTCCTATCAAATTTTTTTTTTTCCTTTTTTCTATTTTGGGAAGGACAAGATTTTTTCAAAATTCACATTTTCAAACAAGGACAGATAATCAGTCATAGGAAAAATTTAATGACTTCACCTACCTACATAAAAACAAAGTCTGAACCCACTTCAACTCTCAAACAAAATGGATGAAATATAGTCATTACTTTGTAATAGCGATTTTTTCTACTTTGTAAATTATATCTTAAAAGAAATATGAAACCCAACTGTAAAACAGCCTATTCTGAACATAAATAAAATAGAAATATTAAAGGGTTAAACAAAATTTAAATTCAAAGGCTAATAAAATCTGGTCTAATTTCTAAAAGCCCATACATTTACCCATCTCCAAGATTTTACCTTTTATTTCTCCTGAATCAATCATACCATAATATGACTGAGGGCTCTAAATACATGCCTAATGTAGCACAGTAGTATTCTTTCATTACATCCACAGTAATTACGATTTTTATCTATTAAGTAGTATATTTTCCTGAAAAAAATTATATAGGGAATAGTAATCCAACTTCTCACAACTTGTAAGAGACAATACTAGTTAGTATATTCTTCCAGAAATAATCTACATATATGAAGCGTATTTTAATGTAAATTATTTTATATAAGTAGAAGCATATTAAACATACTTCTCTTGAACCTCATTTTAAAAATGTAATACTTCATAATAATTGCTTCAAATCAGCACATGTAGATTAGATCTCTTTGCATTTGATAGCTGCTTAAAT